GGGGGCACGCAGAGGTCAGCGCCGCGACGACCTCTCCCCCGAGCGAAAACCCGCCGTGCCCCCCCGGTGGCGGACCCTCTCTGAGTGGACCCCGTACCGCACTCTGATGGGGTTCGTGCTTGCCGTCGCGTGGAAGTCGCTCGCCCGCCGCTCCTGGCCGGTGAACTCGTCCCGGAGCAGGCGCAGGGCTTTGTCCGCGTCCCCCGGGGAGCCGGTGCCAAGGCGGACTCCCCCCCCCTCCCTCCCTCCCTCCGCCCCGCCCCCCTGCCTCTCTCTTCCCCTCCCTACCTCCTTCCCCCCTCCCAGCATATCCCCGGGACGGGGAGGACGACGAGCAGGGACGACGAGGACGAGGACGAGCTCTGGAGCACGAGGGCGCGACACGCACGAGCATAGCACACGAGCAGGAGCTTTCGAGGACGAGGATCTGGAAGAAGGGAAGGACCCAGACTTCCCCGCGTCGTGAAAAAATCACGACGCGATGCCTTTCGTTGTTTTCTGCCTCCAGGGGCCCTCCGGGGCCTCGGGACCGTCAAAAAACGACTCGGGACGAAAAACCGGTCCTGGGGAAGGGGTCCGGACTTCTGGGGGTCGACGTAGCGAAAAAAACACGACGTCGGGGGTCTGGGGAGGGGGGCTAGAACATGGGCAACGCCCAGCGAATCGATATCCCATTCGGCTATCAACATGAAGCCCCAGAGCCAATTTGGGCAGAAGCTGATCATTTTTGGTGCGTCGGCATATCCCCGAAAAAGAGGTTAGGGGTTCGCTTCGTCGGTGATGGCCCGTTGAAAACTGCACCCTGCATTGAAATAAGCGTGGTATCCCTTCGATATCCTGCCTTCCCAAAAATATTTACGATTCCATGCGGGATGACCGCAATCCTCTGAGAACGCCAGAGGCGGACATTCGTATAGATTGCGCTGCGTTGACACACCCTCACACGGAAGATAGGAGAGCGTCCGAACACAAGAAGTGCCAGAGGCAGTGTTAGCCATGCTCTTGAGCCTCTCGCGTACCTCTCCAGTGCACCCTGTGCACCCCCCAGCTGGAGGCTTGAACGACTGACTTAGCACGGGTACCTCTTGCTTGCGATCTCCAGGCACGCGCCGCAACGTCGCTAGCTGAGACACCGCTCCCAAGCATGCAGCTCCGACGGGCGAGGGAGCAACGCAGCACTCAGCTTTTGCACTAGTTGTTTCTCGATTGCTCCATGGCTTCATGATAAGACACGATACAGCTGCTGAAGGCGCTTTGTCGGTATCACCGCTGCCTGCGTGTGATCAGCGTCAACATCCATTCTGCCTAGAGGGGAAAACACAAACATAAACTGTCGGAGGTCCGCGCGGATTTCTTGGATCTGCGCCGGACCCCCCTCCCTGGCGCGCGGAGCGCGCCAGGGGCGGCGCCGGAGGCGCCGGGGCCCCAGCGCAGATCCAAGATATCCGCGTGGAGCGCCAAAAGTTTATGTGTTTTTCCCTACCTAGGCTATGCCTAGAAGGGTTCTTACCCTGTATGCTTAAGGGGCCGGGCAGTGCTCCCCGCCCCAGGCGGTTCCCCAAGGATCCGCCCCGTGGTTCCCCCAGTTGCGCCTCCTGGGTTCACCCAGCTTAGCTTAGCTAAGCTAAGCTTAGCTTCGCTTAGCTTATCTCATCTTAGTTTAGCCTAGCTCAACTTAGTTTTGCCTAGCCTAGCCTAGCTTAGCTTAGCTTAGTTTTGCTTTGCTTTGCTTAGCATATCTCATCTTAGCTTAGCTTAGCTTAGCTTAGCTTAGCCTGGCTCAGCGTAGCTTAGTTTAGCTTTGCTTAGCCTAGCCTAGCCTAGCCTAGCTTAGCTTAGCTTAGCATAGTATAACTTAGATTAGCTTAGCTTAGCTTAGCCTGGCTGAGCTTAGCTTAGCTTAGCTTAGCCTAGCCTAGCCTAGCCTAGCTTAGCTTAGCTTAGCATAGTTTAGCTTATATTAGCTTAGCTTAGCGCAGCGCAGCATAGCGCAGCGCAGCATTAGCACAGCATAGCATAGCATAGCATATCATAGCAGTTCATAGCATAGCATAGCATAGCATAGCATAGCAAAGCATAGCATAGCATAGCATGGCTCAGCATAGCATAGCATATCATAGCACAGCATAGCATAGCATAGCGCAGCATAGCATAGCATTGCATAGCATTGCTCAGCATAGCACAGCGCAGCATAGCATGGCATAGCACAGCCTAGCACCGCATAACATAGCCTAGCATAGGTGTAGATGTAGATGTTGCTTTCCTAAATGCTCCAACTCCTAGGTAGGGCCGCACTGGGATAATTGCTTTTCCCTTTTGACTACAATAGGAGCATTCACTCTCCGACGGCTCGAGGAGACTGAGGAGCGCGCAATACGCATTTGTGCCAGCAGCCATCCGGCTCTGGGCGAGGACACCCTGCGACCGCCGCGGACGCCCGTGATGGCCCACCGACCCCAGCGAATCGGGAAACCGGATCCGATCGAAACGTGTAACCGAA